TGGTGTGGGTCTTTGATTCCACATTCGTAACAAGGTGTCCAGGTGACTCTTACGTACATTAACATGTGAAAACATGTTATATACAAACATGATCTAGTCCAATCCCCTTTGTCTTACAGAAGAGGAGAGAGAAGCCCAGAGAGGTACATGGATTCTTCAACGTCACACAGCTAGACTAGAGCAAAACTACACATCTGATCTTCTTAAGACCAAGGGGTCACCTCCTCAGGAATTAAAAGGACACAGTCTGGAGAAGGATACTCATTAAATAGTTCCCAATTGTTAGTGCTGAGGAAAGACTTAGGTGGGATGGGGAGAAAGGAGGGAATTTATACTTGTATATTATTTGAATTTCTTAAAATAAATATAAAACTTCTCTAAGTAAATACAATTCTACTGAATCACACATGAATACATTTGTCTTTTTCTTTATTGCTGATAGCACTTTTTCATTTATGTTTCTAAGTAAAAATGTGACCCAATGTCATATTCCCCAAGTCCAATGCACCTTTAATATTCTCCAAGAATGGAGACAAGGAGAGAGGGAATCATGTAAGATCAGATCTGGGAAGGCCTTAAGAGATTATCTTCCCATTGCACATTTCCAGCTCACGAGCCTACTGTTAAATTTCTATAAATTACAAGCCAGGTGACATCGTATAGTAACTTAAAATCAGCCATGCTGCTGATACTTACACAATGGAAATAGCAAAAGCCACGAACCAGAGCCTTTGTGTTTTCAGCCTCATTAAAGACTGTTTGTTTGTTTTTTTTTCAGAGATGTTCAACATTTACTGACACAGCACTGCCATCACACATCCTTTGAGACACTAAGCCTCACAGAAGTGACTGTGCATAGCCAGGTGTTGGCACAACATAAATGTTCATTCAACAAACATTTGCCAAGACTTACTCTGTTCCTGGCCATAGCCAGACACTGTAATCTCAGAGAACCAAATAAAGAGTCAGAAATCTCCCTGCTCTTGAGGGACCCACATTCCATTAGGGGTGACAAGTGACATTAAACACCAGAGCTCAGATGGGATAAAAGGGATCAAATATGTGGTGACAAAGAAATCTAACTATGGGAGGTGAACACACAATGTAAATATATATATGCCTTACTGTTAAAATGTACAGCTGAAATTTACCAGATTTTGTTAAACAATGTTACCATAAAAAATAAATTAATTTAAAAATATAAAATAAAATAAAGTTAATGGCCCTGGGCAGGGGTGGGGGTGGGGCAGGAACAGAGTTCAAATGTCATCTCTGCCACATTCAATAAAAGCTGCTGTTTACTGAGTACTTACTATCTTCAGGGCATTGTGTTAAGCACTTGGCATGTACTGTCTCATGGGCTTTTTTCTGGAGGCAAATCATTTCTTTTCTGAGCCTCAGTTTTCACATTTAAGTAGTAGACAAAATAATAAATTCATCACACAGTATTTTAGACATTGAATGTGTCAAAGCCTCATTACACACAATGGGTACCTTATTATCACAGGGAACCAATAAGTGTGTCATTTTGATTATTTAATAGGACAGAAGATACAATCAAAGAAATCTGAGTGCTAAAGAGGCACAAGAGTGGGGTCGCTAAGAGAGGGACAAGAGGAGGGAGGAGAAGAGCAAAGAACTCACAAGAAAGGTAGCACCTCCAAGATTCTGATGGATAAATAACAATTTTCCAGGCAAAGAAGATAGAGGGAGGGTGTCCCAGGCAGAATGCAGCACGAACAAAGACTAAGGGGATAAGTTAGAAGTCAGGTCTTGTGGGCTCAGTGGTTATCAAAAAGAAGGAGATTGGTGGGTTGCAGCCCTAAAGGTCTCATCACCACCTCCTTACCCATCACCAGGTCCTCTCTCTGTCCTCTCTCCCACAAGTCCTTCCTGTTGATCCGATCAAAGATGCTCAGTGCCAGCACCCAGGCCTCTCCTATCCCATAATGGGCCACCAGCAGCTGAGCCATTTCCAAGGGACCAGCTGTCTCCATTCGTCCCCAGGGAATCCCGTCTTCCCCCATGTCTGTCGCTGTCCCCAGGTGTAACTTGAACTTCTTCAGCTCCACAGCCTCCAGTTCTTCCAAGTAGACAGACAGGCGACAAAGGCCATCTTTGACCACAGTTCGGGGCATGGGGACGCTAGGAACCCTGAAGGAAAGCAGCTGTAGCCTAGAATGTTTCTACACACAGGACGAACAATTCCAATATGGCCGCCATCTCGTCACGCACAGGCAGAGGCTGTAGGAATGAGACACAGGAAAGTCTTGCTGTTGAAATAAAGCTTCCTCACCCTCCAGTTCCTGCCTGCCCTGCCCCACCCCGCCTCACCAACGGGGTTGAAGAAGAGGAAATGGGGAGAAATTAGGAAATTGCCATTCCACTCATGAAAAGACCAAACAGGCTTTTTCCTTTGTCCCAGCTACTGTTTTCCTTGTCTCACTAGTGTCTGTAGTCCATTGTACTACCATCAAAACCATTACTCCACTTCTCTATTAGACATCCTCCCATTGGCGTCAGCCTTGGACGGGTAACTCGCATCAGCCAATGGAATGTGAATGAACGTGACTGTGACCCATGGGCCAATATTGGCAAGTTTCTCTTCCAGGCATTTTCTTTTCCAGATGAGGAGACAAAATCCCAGAGAGGTATATGGATTCCGCAATGTCACACAGCTAGACTAGAGCAAAGTTAGACATCCAATCTCTTTCAGACCATGGGGTCACCTCCTGGTGAATTAAAAGGCCACAGTCTGGGGGAGGATGCTCATCGAATAGTTGTTAGTGCTGAGGAAAGGTTGAAGCGGAAAGTTGCAAAGGGTTTTTATTATCGTTGTTGGTCTGGATTGATGAGAAGCATGAAAGAGCTGGCGTGATGCGGGAGACAGAGGGAAATCATGACTCTTGTTTTTTTCCACCAGAATTCATAAAAATGGGCAGTTGTCACAGGTAGCGGGAAATCAATGAAGTTTTTTGAGCACAGCACCAACGTGAAGGTGTTTCGGGAAGACGAATGAGTTTCTGTGGTCTCTGCAGGGACAGGGGTGCAACATGGAGATCCTCCAGGCTTTACATGTTCCTCCTACCCCTACCCCATGCCTCACCACTTTACCAGCAGTGTTATCTTGGAAAAGTCACCTTACCTTCACTCTAAATCTCCAAAGGCTTGGCAAAGGAAGGAAGAACTCGGACACAGGTTAAGTCCTTCTATTACCTGCCTTAAATGAGATGCTCGGAGTGGAGTTGTTTGGCCCCGAGCCTCAAATGTAGCATACTTTAATTTTCTTGCTCTCACTTCCTTTTTCCTTCAACTGACATCATCCTTGGAAGTCTACCTACTCAACACCATTGCTGCTAGAGTTAGGGATTGGACAGATACACTCAAGGGAAAGTGGAGACTTGTGAGGGCCAATCACATTTTCTGGACTCAGAATACAGCTGGATTCACAATATGCAAAGAATATAGATCCAGAGGTTATTTAAGGAATGGAATTGGGGTTAGTGACCATTTCTGGGTACAATCTCAAAACCATATCACTACCTAATGTTTCTCAAACCCCAATGTGCATGTGAATCACCTGGGGATCTTATTAAAATAAAGGTTCTGATTTAGTGGCTCTGAGTCTGCATTTCGAACAGGCTCCCAGTTGGTGCTGATGCTGCTGGTCCAATTTCACATCTGCAGGGAGCTGGACTTCTGCAGAGGACCTCCATCAACTGTCCTCAGAAGGTCTTAGTATAGAGCAGTTGTGAAGAAAGAAAGAAACACATTTATATAATAATAATTTTTTAAAGTATGGGATAACTTTGGATTTTTCAAAACCTCAGAGTTGAGAGTTTTAAAAGCCAGAGATGCCCCAGCTGCTATCTGGGTGACTTTCTCATGAATAATTGTTTATTAAGCATCCACACTTGAACTTTATTCTGAGGATGATGAGGAGCTATGGAGTATTTTTTTTTTTAAAATTTAGGTGAAATACACAGTGCATAAAATTCATCATTTTAACTATTTTAAAGTGTACAATTCAGAGACATTAAATACCTTGGCCATGGTGTGTAACATCACCACTATCTATTTCTAGAACTTGTCCACCACCCCAAAAGGAAACCCCGTATCCACAAAGAGAGTCACTTGGCATTTCCCCTTCCCCTAGCCCCTGGCAACCATCAATCTACTTTCTCTCTCTATGAATTTGTCTGTTTTGGACATTTCCTATAAATGGAATCATAAAATATGTGACCTTCTATATCTGGCTGATTTCACTTAGTGTAATCCAGGGTCATCTATGTTGGTGCACGTATCAGTACTTCATTCCTTTTCATGGCTAAGTGAGATTCCATTACAGGACATGGCATGGTTTTGAGCAGGAGAGGGATAGAGTCAGATCCCTGTTAAGGAAGGTCTTTCAGGGCTGCTGTGGTAGGTGATCAAGGGAAGAAGCATGGAGGCTGAGAGAACAGGAAGGGAGCTGGAGCTGTGTGGGGGCAGTGGACGTGTATGAGGGACATGGGGGTGAGCAGTAAAAGTTCTAAGGTGGGGCGGAGGTTGAGGGGAAGATGCTACTAATCTGGATTCCCTGTGGCTCACGCCCAGGCTTCCCCAAATAACTCACATCACAGTCACAAGAGGAGAAAGACAAATTTCTAGGAATCCATAGGGGTTGGGGGAAACGGAGTCAGTAAACATCTATCTCCTACATCCCCTTTCAAAAAAGCCCTTCTTGAGGGCAAAAGGGAGGGAGATAAGGGTAAAGGGGGTTAAATATATGGTGACGGAATGAAATTTAACTTTGAGTGATGAACACACAATGCAATATACATATAATATATTATTGAATTGTGCACTTGAAGCCTACATAATTTTATTAACCAATGTCACCCCAATAAATTTAATAGAAAGCAAGCAAGGAAGAAAGGGAGAGAGAGAGAGAAGAGGGAAGGGGAGGGGAGGAGAGAGGAAGAGAGGAGAGGAGAGGAGAGGGAGAGAGGGAGGAAGGAAGGAAGGAAAGAAGGAAGGAAGGAAGGAAAAAAGGAAGAAAGAAAACGCTTCTTCCTGGTGGGAAGAAAGAGTTGGCAATTTCTGGGGACTTCTATAGCTTGACACAGTTCCTGGAAATACAGGAACGAATCCATCCCAGCCCCTGACTTCAAGGACCTCAGAGTCTAAAGATAATTTTCCACAGCAGCCAGTGCAGGACACACAGGAAATGCTTCTGGAGACTTTTTTTTTCCTCATCAAGAAAATGTGATTTTCTGATAACAACCATGACATATTTTTATTGTAAAATATTCCAGTGTGTCATAGAGTAGAAAGAAATATAAAGAGGTGGAAGAATTTATTATTTTTATTATTACAATTATTAATTTTTATCATTACAATTATTATTGTAAGGACTGGCTCCGGGATTCATGTTAAGGAGAGTTCTGTCTGTTTGGAACAGAATCCTGATGATGAACAGATTGGAAGAGAAAGGTGAAAATGAAGCATGAAAAAGTGGGGAGAAAGGAGTATTGATGTATTGTTTTGCTCCTGCAAGAGACAGGAATGGTGTAGCAATGGCTTTACAAACTGTTGGAACATAATTTGACAGTTCCTCAAAAAGTTAAACAGAGTTACCACATGACCCCAATTTCCATCCCTAGGTACATATCCTAAAGAATTAAAAACATACATCCTCACAAAAACCTGTACATGAATGTTTACAGCAATGTTATTCATAATAACCAAAAACTGGGAACTGTTTAAATGTCTATCAATGGAAGAACGGATAAACAAACTGTAGTCCATCCATACAGTGGAATATTACTCAGCTGTAAAAAGGAATGAGGTACTGATACCTGCTACCAGTACGAATAAACTTTCAAAGCTTTATGCTGAATGAGAGAAGCCAGACATAAAAGGCCACATATTGTATGATCCCATTTATAGGAAATGTTCAGAACAGACAAATCCATAGAGACAGAAAACAGATTAGCATTTGCAGGGAGAGGGAGGACTGGGGAGTGATGGTTGTGGGGTCTTTTGGGGGGAGATGGAAATGTTCTGGAATTAGGCAGCAGATGGTGGCACAACTTTGCAAATATACAAAAAAAAAAATACCCCCTTTGAACTATACACTTTAAAGGGGTGAATTTATGGTGTATGGATTATATCTCAATTTAAAGATTAAATATGAAAAAGGAAACTGCAGGGACAACTTTTGCCATCATCGATCTCCTAGCTCTGCTTTATTTTGCATTTGTATGTTTGTTTATTCGTGTGACCTATATGGCAGGGCTAGAAAACGATGAAGGTGATTTTCAAACTCAGCTTTGGCTGGCTCTAGGTTCAAGCTTGATGTCCTTATCAGTGGAAGGACACTTACTAAGCCATCAGGTGACATCTCCAATTGAAAGAGGGGTAAACTGAGGCCCAAAGAAGTGAAGTCACCTGCAGATCGTTGTAGAACACCCCAGAGCTGTCGACAGCCGGTCACTACTCCCACTGCCCAAGGCCCCATCGTCCCGTAGGCACAGTCATACCTTCGCTGAGGCCATGCACAGGGGTTGTGAAACTTCCTCCGTAGCTGTGTCCTCACTGTCTCTACTGACCACAAAGACTGGCAGGAAGCTCCCAGCCTGGCTGTTCCTCCCCCATCAGCTTGCAGGGACAGCCACCATTTCTGTCCTGATCAACCAGAGCAACACAGCCACTTGCTGATGCTATTAAAACTTCATAGAATGGGAGAGACACATGTGTGACCCTTAAAACTTGTCATGTCCCTATCATCTCAGACTAGGTCCTTCCTTGTCTCCCTGTTACTTGCTCTCCAAGAACCCAGGACAGAAGGTAGCATGGTATCATCATCATTTGCAAAATACTTAATTTTTTTAATAAACCTAGTTAAGTCTTTTCTTTCTTCCTTTCTATGGAGAAAGACCCTCTCTCTGAAACTTAGATAATTACCGAGAAACTGATAACTCAGGTCCTCTGGCTATTGATAAGGATCATTGAAACTCAGCACTTTCCTTGGCCCATTATAAGGCAGGAATGTCTTTAGGCCAAACAGGACCCTTAGCGTCTGAGAAAGGAGGGAAACTTTCCTTTTATGAAATATATTAACCAAGCCTGTTTTCCTGTACCCGCTTGATAGGCA